GGGGTCTCTGTGTGTTCTTGTTTCCCTTTGTTGTAGTCTTTGTGTGTGGGGGGGGGGGGGGGGGGGGGGGCAGTTAGGTGCTGTTATTGGAGGTAGGAAAGGTTGTCAGGTAAAGTAGGCCTAGAAGAGAGGGAGAATGAAAAGCCAGACTAGAACAACAAGGATAAGCTATCATTAATAGAGATGAAAAAGGCCACAAGAGAGAACTGAGGCTAAGAGTGGCAACTCAGTCTTGACCATGATGTGATCTGTCCGATGTCCAGTGGAGACACCATGCAGGTGGCTGGTTACAGGTCTGAGGGTGAGAGCTGAGTTGGAGTTCTGAACTTGGGAATCATCAGCAGGCAGACAAAGATCCACAACCTAAGCCTGGAGCTGTCCAGACTTTAGAGGTCAGGGACAGCAGAAGAACTGAGACAGCCTTGCCTCATCCTCTTAAGCCCAATGTGTCCTGGGAAACCCTGCAGAGCAAATGAAGTCTTCTATCTATAACTATGGTCAGTTACCTGAAAAGAGCCCTTCAGAGAAGAGGCACATATTCATTCTCTGAATTTTAGAAGCACTTTAATATTTGAGACAATTCATTCTTTTTGAGGAAAAATAAATCAATTCTTTGAATGAACTAAATGGTTACCTAGAAACCTGAACCAGGGAGGTGGTTTCTGGGAAAAGGAATAGTCTGACAGACTTGAAAGATACTATGTAACTGAAAATAGGTTAAAACAACTATATATGATATAATCTGCTCAAAATTTAAAACAAATTCTAAATATGTGGTATCTGAGGAAATTTATGCTTTTAAAAAGGGAAACAATATCAGCAGTCTCAGGATTAGCTTTAAAAACAAAGCAACCTGTGAAAGCAGAGTTGCCAAAAGCTAAGCTAACATACTCTTTGCACCCTGGTTTCTGGGTCCTGAGTATGCATGAAAGCCGTGGTAGGAATGAAGTATTTTCCTAGGCGGTAGCGCACTCCCAGAGAATGTTCATGGTATTTACGCTTGTTGTACAAACAGAAGTAGTTGTTGAAACAGATTTGAACATTACAGTCAAATAAGATCAAAGAACATATCCTTAGATGGTTTGCTGATTCCTGGCAGTCCGGCAGTTAGACAACACACATACAAAGTGCAAAGCCCATCATTTATTTAGAATGATAAAATGATAAAACAAATGATAAAAACAATTTTGTGCTAAGACAGGAATTTAAATGCATCTCTGTCACTTTAAGAATCCATTACAATATCTGTGTGATCTGGACACCTAAATTTCTCCATAATTCAATCCAAATGGCCTTAGGAAATGAGGTTTTTGACAGTGACAGCCTAGGGTCTGGAGAACTCATCTCTCTGGTGAGTTTAAACAGATTCTTACTAAGTGGCCAGGGTCTTCTTTGCATTAATGTTTCAGTATTCCCTGGAGAAAAAAATTGTAACCTGCTAACACTTGCCAGGCTGTTTTTCAGCTGGGGCTCTTCATGTATAAGCCCCTGATGCAAAGATTACAAAGGCTGGGAAACACCCTTAAATAACTACTTTTCAACTCCTAACACCTCCCTGACAGCTTTTCTAGACGGGGAATGGAACAAGTGTGTCAGTGCTCTACATGGCCCCTCTGGGTGGACTGGAGGGATGTGATTTTAGTTCAAAAGCCCTGATTACATACAGGACACAAAAGCTCAATGTCTTCTTCTGCTATGCCATTCATGACTTTCCCTTTTCTTCCCAATTTCCTGTTTTGGAAATTGGGGTAAGTCCCAGCAGGTAGGTGGCATGGTGGGGATGCTGTCCTTTGTCCAACCATGAGGAAGGCAAGGCAAATAAGCTTAAGAGAAATTCATGAACAGGCAGAGATGACCCACTTTCTGTGTGTGTGTGTGTGTGGTTTTTTTTTTTGGTTTTTTGAGACAAGGTTTCTCTGTGTAGTTTTGGACCCTATCCTGGCACTTGCTCTGGAAACCAGGCTGGCCTCAAACTCACAGAGATCTGCCTGCCTCTGCCTCCCGAGTACTGGGATTAAAGGCGTGCGCCACCGACGCCCGGCTGATGACCCACTTTCTACTTGTCCTTTGCAGCCAATGAGATCAGACACCAGAGGAATCCCAATTCCTACTTGACTATGTATATGTCCATGACCCTTATTTAAGATGGATTCTGGCTCCTCCTCAGCTGCATTCTTGTGTCAAAAGGCCTATGCTGTGGAACAGCAGGTAACTAAAGTCCAGGATCAAGGGCATCCACATCTGCCCCCAACCAAACAGTTCCAAGCTCGGAGATTGCTGAAGGTTAAAAGCCCTGAAGCAAGACACAGTTGGGTCACCCATGAAGTTAACTAGGTTTTATCAGGGACACAGAGATAAATCCACAAGTTGTAGTTCGTTTCCACTTTCAGTCTTCCATATTAGTGAATTTTCTCTTCTTATAAGTCTGAACGAGGTTGGATGCTGTGATCTGAGAAGCCTGACCCTTTTCCCAACTCTGAAAGTCATTCAGCCCTTTCTGCCCTATTTGAAATAAGCCTCTCTCTGTCTCATCTAGCCTGGCTACCAGTGCTGAAGTGTCTTCATTGTAAGAATTCTGGGAGGAGTCCATGATGCGGCGGAACCGTCCAATAAAAGTCTGAAGAAGAGTAAGAGAATCAGGGGCAATATTACATCCCATAAAGCTAGACACATTGAAAACCTTCATTAACTTATTTTGGGGTGGAGACAGGGCACACACTCGATACAATGTATATGCATAGCTGTTAGAGGACAACTTGTGGGAGACAGTCTAGCACAGATCATCAGGTTCAGCTGCAAGCGCCTTTATCCGGCCAAGCCAAGCTATCTTGCTGGCCCTTCAATTTTTTTTTTTTTCTGGATTATTTAAAGTTACTATTTATTGGGCAGGGTCTCACTGTGTAGCCTCAGCTGGCCTGAAATTCAGAGATCTACCAAGCGCTAGAATTAAAAGTGTACACCACCATATCTAGCAAATTGTTATTTAACTATGTGAATATGGATATGAATGTATGTGCCCTCATGTTGCTGGAGTTACAGGCAGTTGTGAGGCACCTGACGTGGGTGCTGGGAATTAAACCCAGGTACTCTGCAAGCACAATGTATGAGCCTTCTACCCAGTCCCTATACTGGAACATTTAGATAGCTTCAAAGAATTTGGTCTCAGGACTCACCCAGGAAGCTTGAGTGCCCTTTACTACTTAAAAAGCCTTTGTTTCTTTTACAGTAAAATAGGATGTTATGGAAATCCAATGAATTTTTACTAAAACCAGTGAAGCAATGTATGTAACTCACGGAGCAAGAGGCTGGTACACAGTAAGCCTCTGGAAAGCACTGCCTGTTGTTATTGGTAACAATGACTACAGAAATCATAATGAACAGCTTTCAACCAGATGGGATTTTGGATTAGCTGAATTTGGTTTCTATTTTTCTCAGTCTAAGAGCAGGATGGAGATGGATACGATCAAAAAGCATTATTTTACCATCGGGCTCTGAGCAAAAACCACAAGCCCCAATCCAGTTTTCCCATCTGTCTCTCATAGCAAAACCATTTAATCTGGAAGCATCTCTAAAACACTTGAAAGCAGTGATGGAAACAGAAAACACATGACTCATGTTAAAAAAGAAAACTTTAATTCAAGAACAAGTCCTAGGAGTTGGGCCTATTGGCACAGAATGTAATCCCAGATATTAGGAGGCTGAGGATCCCAAGTACAGGCCAGCCAAGAATGCTAAGCAAGTTAAAGGCCACCTGAGTAATTTATTGAGAAACCCCCATCTCAAACAAATAGCAACAAAAAGTTCAAGACTTGGTGAAACAAACATGTTTTCCTCTTTTTTTTTTTTTTTTTTAAGCTTTCCATTCTATAGTTTGATGAACTTGAATTCAACCTTCTTGCCTATAGTCTGTGTATGAACTTCTTTTACTGAATGGATAGCAATGTTTTCTTTCCTTTTTTTTTTTTTTTAAATTTTGTAATCAGGCAGCCACAGGATATTTTATATGTGTGAGTATATTGCCTGCATGTGTACCACATATGCGCAGTACTGGTAGGGCCACAAAAGGGTGTTAGATCCCCCTGGAACTGATTTACAGAAGGCTGTGAGCCACCATATGGTGCTGGGAATCAAACCTAGGTCCTCTTGAAGGGCAGCCAGTGCTCTTAACTGCTAAGCCATCCCTCCAAATCCAAACTTCTGTTGTTCTGAGACAGGATCTCACTATGTGGACCATGCTGGCCTTGAAGGAATCCACCTGCCTCCACCTCCTGACTGCACCATCACACCCAGCCCACCAGCCTCAAGTTTTTCTTTTTTGAGACAGATTCTCACTGTGTTGCTGAAATGCCCATGAAGGTGCCTATGAGGGAGAGAAGGAATTGGGTCCCCTAGAGTTGGAGGAGTTATAGGCCACTGAGACTCACTCATCATGGTTGTTAGGAAGCTAACTCAAGTCCTCTGCAAAGGCAAGCTCTCTTAACCTATAAGCAATCTTGCCAGCCCTTGAGCTAACAGTGCTTATAAAACTAAAAAGGAGAAATTAAAGTCTTTTGACTGTTTAGTGCTCAAGAGACACAAAGGTTCCTTTTTTTTTTGATATGAAAAGAATAGTTAAGAGGAATTAAATTAGTATATATACACCACAAAGGATGGTAATGTATATATACCACTGTTTTATCTATAAAACTATATTTAGTTACAGTTTGCAGTGGTCTGAATGACAATGCTTCCTATGGGGTACTGTTTTTGAACACTTCGTACTCTCCCTGCTTTGTGCTTACTGTAAAGGATGTGAGATTTTAGTTTCCTGCTTCAGTCACCATGCTAGCTGTTTGCTGCTATCACAGAGTGTTATCCATCTGGAACAGTAAGCCCAAAAGAAACTCTTCTGTAAGCTCTTTGGTCATGGCGTTTTATCACAACAGAAAAGTAACTACTGCCCTGTTTATTAAATATTAACTGACATGGCACTACATCTTTTTTACAATAACTGATTTTGATATTGTTGTTACCTGTCATACAGGTGAAAAACTGATACTAAGACAGGCCATGTAGCTTCAGTAAATTACAGATTCAATTAATGAGAGAACCACATTTTAATCCCAGAAGAAGGGAACCTAACAGATAAACAAGTATTTCCAAAAGGAGCTCCAGTTCAGACCTTCAACTGGGCCATAACAGTTACCAATGTACCTATCACCTACCTATAATCTACTCTCACCTTTGCCTCTTCAGTTTCCTGATGGTTCCAATTCTTAGGAAATAAATACAAAAAGGAATAGGCAAGTCATTTTTTTTCTTGTCATATATTTTTAAAACGTATCAGATGAGAACAAGAAGTTCTGGAGAGCTACCCCACAGTAAAGTGGCTATAGATGGTTATAATGAACTGTACATTTCAAAATACATGAAAAGAAACGATTAAGGGCCTGGTGAGGTGGGTCAGTGGGTAAAGCACTAGCCGTGCAAACAGAGGACCTAAGTCTGAATTCCTAAGTCAGAACCCATGTAGAGGCTGAGCACAGCACTGCACATCTATAGTCTCACTGCTTCAGTTGTGGGATGGGAAGTGGAGACAAGAGACTCCTGGGAAGCTCACTGACAAATTTAACTGTAGTCAGTTGCAAAACAGAGACCTTAGAAGGTGAGGACTGACACCCAAAGTTGTCTTCTGACCACTACATGTGTGCCGTGCCAAGAATGCACCTGCACTCATACATTCAACATGAGCACACACATACATGTACCACACACACAGAAAAGAATTAATGCTGAAGAGATAGATGTTTAACCTGACATAAACATTATAGAATATATATATGTGGTAAAACATTACATAGGACCCCATTATTGTGTAAATTTTTTTTTGTTCTGAAGCAGGAGGACAATTTTATTAAAGTCTGAGAAAAACAACAGGGAGAGTTAGCTGGAGATTCTGGCTGATGCCTAAGGAAGCCGATGAGAAGAGGATGAGAGAAAGCCATGCCTTTTGCAATGGAAGTTGGCAAGCAGCTGTTGTAGAAGGTAGAGAGGACTTCAGATGAGTGAGAGACCCAGGGTGCTAGAGAAAACATGCTTAGGCTTTTTGGCCAGTATCTGAAAGAAAAAGATCTAGGACAGGAAGACCATCTGGGAAAGATGTATATACATTATATACTTAAGTATATGTATATACTTAATATACTTATTAAGGAACAATTATTCCTCCCTTCTCCTTCGCATGTCTTCAGGTGAGCAAGCTTTCCTCTGGGTGGACACCTGGTCAGGTGACTGACAGCAGTTGGATTAACTATTTTTTCCTTTTGAAATACAGTATTTTTTATTTATTCTCTGATAATTTCATACATGTAAACAATGTACCTTGCCCATTCCTAAGTCCCCTTCTCATTCCTCCAGGATATACCATGTAAAACCTTTATGGGTTTATTTTCATGGTGCTAGGGCTTGAACTCATGGTTTCACAGATAACAGGCAGGTACTGGACCACTGGCACAGTGTAAGTATAGTCACCCTAGAATACCAACAAAGTTTATGGATCACACACTTCCCTAAGTGTGATGGCTACTCTTAATTGTCAACTGAACTGTAAGCCAGGCACTCCTAGGAGGGATTTTCTTCATTTGAAATGGGAAGACCCATCCTAATGTAGGCAGCACCTTCTAATGGTAGTTCAGATAAAATGACATGAAGAAGGAAACTGCAGTTTGTCTGCTTGCCCTCACTCTTGTAAGTTCACCTATCCTGTTGGGGTGGCATTCCTTAGCTGACATTAGAACCAGCAGCTCTCCAAGAATCGTCTAGGCCTTTAGTACCAGATTGGGGCTATTAAGACATCCAGTCTTGTGGACTGAGCAATTACCGATTCTTAGTCTCATTTGTGTGACACAGCCATTGTTGGACTACTGAGATAATATCATGTAAACCAATTCAATAAATCCCTTAATAGTTTTTTTTTTTTTTTTTCCAGTTAAAAGCTTTTTATTGATCTGAGAGCCCACGGGTACTTTTTCAATTTATTTTATTATTTTTTTTTTTTTTGAGGCAGTCAGCCCAGAAAACACATACAAGAAACATTATATGGACTGAGCAGTTATATTTAGGAATATATATGTATATACAAATACATATATGCATGCACTAACAATTAGTGGAAAAAAGACATGGATTTGAAGGAGAATGGGGAGGGAGGAATGGAAGGGAGAAATGTTGTAACAAGATTATAATCTTAAAAAAGTTTTTTAGTGCCTTAAAGTGTTAAGACTTATTTTTATGTATGTGTGTTTATGTCTGTGTTTATGGAGATCAGAAAAGGGTGTCAGATACCCTGGAGCTGGAGCTACAGGTAGTTATGAGCTGCCTGGCATGGGTACTAGGAACTGAACTTGGGGCCAATTCTCCAGCTTTTAGTCCCCATGTACTATTCTCCCCCCTCCCCCCTGATGTCTGGTAGCTTCCATCATTGGCTGCTAAGGTATGCACAGCCTAATATTTCACACTACTTACCTGCAGCAGAGACTGGGAGATATCTGCATTCTCTGGACTGTCAAAATGCAGAAGTTGGGAGCCAAAACCATAGAAATAGGGCCCCATTTTGTGGAGGTCCACGACATTAGCATCTGCACTGAACACAGTCCTCCATCCCTCTTGGTATATCTTGGGAATTTCCACAGAAAGGATGCGCCGCTTGTTGTCAAAGAGTCCTTTAGCCAGCCACAAGGGAAGCTCAAGTTTTGTTCCCTGTATCAGACAAGAATGTAGAATTGAAAAACAAAGGCATAGGCAGTGTATATGGGGGAAAAAAAAAGGAAATTCATATTTTCTGGGAAATACTGCCTCTTCTACTGGGGAAATGACCATGAAGTGATCTGAGAAATGAACCATAGACTTAAAGTTTTATTTACTTTTTTATTTTTCATCGTTGGATCGCACTGTGTGTGTGTGTGTGTGTGTGTGTGTGTGTGTGTG